ACAAACATGGCTGTTTGGGATTCTGATTAGTATCGCCGGCCTGCTTCTGGCTCTTCCTTCAGCTTCACATCTGCTCATACACTCTCTGTCTTGTCTCTGCCTCACAATCTGTGTTCGGCTCTACTCTCTCTATATCCTTAAACAGGGATCATTTTATTTTATTTTTCATTATCTCATTCCCTTTACACTCTTTTTTTTTATCAAGGAGATCGCAAACAGGGATCATTTGCATAAAGTCATAAACCACCTTAGGATTTGCTCAAGAAGCCAGTCGTCAGGAGAACGAAGGGGTCGAGCAGCTGAACTTCTTCTTCTTCTTCTTCTTTTTTTTTTTTTTTTTGATCTGGATCATTTCTTGATTCATGCGTGTCATACTTGCACAGGGGCCAAAGGATTAATCCCAACAATTCACTGCATGCTAATCTTCTCTGTATCGTTCCAATTTTAACGGATGTCCCGAAGGACTGCAGCTCAAGCTTCTAATCTGCAGCAATTGACATGCGATAATCAGATACGAACAAGACATCATCGACCACAATCCACAGCAATGGCCATGGGAGACTTGAGGACATACTGATACTAGTGGACTTTCCTGGACGTATATGACCACTTTTCCAGCCCCGTCTGGATGCACCTGACTGTGGTTCTGCCTACAGAGAAGTGGAACCAGTCCTGGTGTGAGTACGCCCTGACTCCCTATCACAGACATACTTCCGATTCCCTGCAACTGTGGCAGATTACTCGGGGAAGAGAGCCGATGATTGCGCAAGTCTTCCCCCCCCCACCCCCTCCCCCCCCACGCTTCCCCCCCCTCTTTTCATCAACAAACCGTTCGTTACCTCAACGAACTATCAAACTACTTGTGATAGTCAAGCAATACTTCACACGGAGGAACTACCAGACTACTTGCCCGGTGATGGTCAATCAATTATTCACACGGAAGCTGAGGGAGCCTAATGTGTCACGGTCGATCGTTCAATGGAAAAGTCATGGAGTCTTCTGAGAGCAACGGAAAGAGTGATGTCGTCGACCGTCGAAAAGCAGAGCCGAAACCATCCCGGCTCCTGACATGACCAGATGCACCCAGGATTCAGGTGAATCCCGACGTCATAGAGCAACCGCCTCCAGAGAGACCTCTCCTCCTCCGGCGTCGGTTCTGACATCAGCTTGCTCAGATCGACCCATACGAAAAGTCCAGCGTTCCCTGCTAGATAGCCCAATCCTGACCTCTCTAGGCTGCTAACAACGGTTGTCCACCTCTCCTGCAACCGGCGAGCATTCTCCACAAGGAATTTTTCCACGAAGGGCTTATCGAGCAACAGAGGGGTCAACATTCTATCTACAGGGGTGGAAAGGATGGAGAATCTCAGCATAGGATAAAGTGCCCTCATCACCAACTCATTCCGTGAATGCACCACTCCGACGCGGAAGCCGGCCAGCCCCAGGTCCTTAGCAAACCCATACACTACATGCACGCGCTGCTGGACTGCCTCCTCCTCCGCGCTAATGACCTCTAAAACGCTTACGAAAGCAGGTGGTTGGAAAACAGACCCAGCATATATTTCGTCTGAGATAAGGTGTATTTGCCTTCCTTGCACGAAGTTGACGAACATCGCTAGAACATCCCTTCCATAGGTTGCGCCAGTTGGATTACACGGTGTCGTTATCATCAACCCGCGGACACTGATGCCCTGAGCAGTGGCCTTATCATATGCCTCCTCGAGGGCTTCTCGCGTGATAAAAAAGCCATCCTCACTGGAGGATGGTACGGGGACAAGGCGCACACCAGCACGTGGTTCCACATCTCGTGCGAATCCGAGGTAATACGGACTAGGCACGAGGAATGCTTCTCCGTGATCGGCAAGTGCCAACGCCAACATTTCGATTGCACAAGACCCGCCGCTACACACACACAAGTGAGATGGGTCGATGTCAATCTGGCCCCGCGTCATAACTGTTGTCATGAAACTCGCAACCGCAGTACGGAGTTTCAGAGAGCCACGAAAATTCTCAGGGTATTGAGCAATCTGAAGCACGCCATCTCCGTGATCGCTGTCCAAGGGCTTTGCATTCTTGTTCCACCATTCTTCTAGCAGGTCCAGGGAAAGAATGTTCTCCGCTACGCCAAGTTCCACGCATCCCGTTGGATTCGTTGCAGGATCAAACCGGTTTTCATGGACCTCCTTCCATCCGAGGTCATGTACGGAAGGTTGTGATGAATGCAGAAGCAACGTGCTCATTCTTCTCGGCATTCTCCCAGGACCATACATCGTTCCAATGTCAGCAGCTATGAGTTGCAATCCTTCCTCCTCCTCCTCCTCCTCCTCCTCCTCCTCCTTCTCCTCCTCCTCCTNCTCCTCCTCCTCCTCCTTCTCCTCCTTCTCCTCCCTTTCCTCCTCCTCCTTCTTCTCATCTACCTTTCCCCCCCCCTGTTCTCCTTGCAAAGAGTCCATCGCTTTCACAGTCAAGTGGTGAAACTGACATTCACATCCCTCACAAACTGCACGTCGCCTGCATAAGAATTTTATGCGCTGTGCCCCTCTACGACTACACGCCAGACATCCCTGCTTGGCCAAACGCACCAGGTGAAACTGCGATGACCCTCTCGACGGTTACATCTGGACCCTGGGAACAAAGCCACAAGCACAAGGAAACAGATGGCAGCAGCACTACCAGTTGCTGACCTTCCACTTTATCTCCTTTCCACTCTCATCTTTCCCGTCTTACGTCCTCTTTGCGACAAATCAGACGACAACACAAACTCCCCTCCCTTGTCCCTTTCGTCCATCACAACCGGCTTAAATAGACGAAAAGGTCAAGCTCACAAGCCAAGACAAGGCAGACAAAGGAAACGACAAATCCAGGCCTTCGTCAACCGGACAACTCCATGTGTACACACACCGGCAAACTACACGCACAGTTCTTATTGGTTCCATCGATGATCTGACACTAGCGTCTTTCGCCGAACAAAACACAACACACCCTCAGCATGAATGTACAGAACCCATCTTTCCAGTCCAATCCAGTCATTATTCAGGGAAAAGGTGCAGTCACTGTTGCCGTCTTAGACTCTTAGCTATTAACTTAAGGCTACTGCCTTCACCCGAATAGAATGCCCGGTCATTATCGCTGCATCTGGACTGAAAATTGGGCCAAATGCAGCTATAATGACTGGGCGTTCTATTCAGGTGAAGACGGTAGTCAGCAAAAACCTCAGCTATCATCATCTCAGTTGTTATCTCTTTGCTCTTACCTACCTACCTTAGCTATTATATTGTCAGTTCTTACCTTATGTATTATCTATGTCCAGCTATTGCTATTACCTTGCACAGTTGAGTATGGTGATTACCTTACCTGTTCCGTTCACTATAGCTCTGTTATCTATTATCTATTTCAGCTATCGCTATTACCTTACACAGTTGACTCTTAATTTTGCCGACTAGTACTGACTACCTTAAACCACCAGTACACTGCCCGCGGGCAACTTCGAAAACAGTGACTCGCTCCTAAGACTTCGGAGGCGTGGGGCTACCAGACCACAATGGCTGGCGGCGCCAGCCAAACAAGAAAAAAAGTGCACCGCTGGCGATTCGGTGAAAAGCTTGGCGTGCGCAGTTCAAGTCCACCACACTCCGGTGTGAGACTACATTCACTACAGTTCTTATTATCTTACTTGTTACAGGTTGTGCAATGAACCTCTCAGATCACCACCAATGAGCGCACACAATCACACACCATGCACGAATGAGATCACACTGGAGGCCAGACAGACGAAGACCAGGTAAGCGCAGCTTTAGAATTCCAACAAAATTATCATATGAGCAATTAAGAGATCCAGTGAAAAACGCTCAACAGTGCAAACCCAAGTAACCAGTATCTCCATTCAGGCAAGTATCTCTCTCGATGCTCTTTCTCTCTTCTCTCTCGGTCTTCTCTGTCTACTACCTCCCTGTGTCTTCTCTCCCTACTTGCATATACTCACACCCTCTACTACTCAAGGACCAACTCTGAATATATCCACTGCTAAATCTACTAACCCCTCTGAGGTCTACTACTAAATACTAGCACTGGTGCAGCTATGGCTGCCTTCCCTCTGCCAGCGCCGGGGCAGCTATGGCTGCTCCCTCTCTCTCCCTCTAACAGCGCAGCTCCCTGGCTCAGCGCTCCGCCCCTCACAATAGCGCACAAGTGCACCAGCACTTCCACACTTCATGCAAATGAGCAATCTGCCCCCAATGAGGAGGCTGGTGAGTCCTTATATTGTTTGGACTGAGCTTCAACTCCTCCCAGCCTCTGCTTCTTGGGTCTTGACTTGGTTCTGGTACCACATTCCCACTGGCTGTTTGCTTCAGAATGTAAGGGCCTGGTACTTTTCCCGAATTTTCATGGGTGTGCTGCTGCTTGGGCCTGTGAGTCACGACTTTTCACTTGAGGAACATGACTTAAAATTTGACTGTGGGTTGTGCCTCCTGCCTGCTTCTGGGACACGACTTTTGCCTGGGGAAGTGTCCTCCTCTGCCGGTGGAATGTGAGTTTTCAATACGACTTTTCATTATGAGACGTGACTTTTCCAACCTTCGCCCCTGAGATGTGACTGTTAACCAGGGGCAAAGGTTGCAAAAGTCACGTCATTATGAGACGTGACTTTTCATTATGAGACATGACTTTTGCAACTTTTGCAACCTTTGCCCCTGAGATGTGACTGTTCACCAGGGGCAAAGGTTGCAAAAGTCACGTCATTATCAGACGTGACTTTTCATTATGAGACATGACTTTTGCAACTTTTGCATCCTTTGCCCCTGAGATGTGACTGTTCACCAGGTGCCTGTTGGACTTTACGCCTAAGGTACCCGACTGTGACTTCTCTGAAACTGACCGACGTTGGCGTCTCTGGCCTAAGACCTTGACCCTGAAACGCGAATTTGGGGTCTGAACCGTGGAAGGCCTTTGAATTGCACACTGTAGCCAACAAACACGGAATCTGCTCGAACGTCTTTCTTGAACAGCAACAGGTTGGCCGCCGCACATGGGCACCGTTGATCGAGAGGGACTGTGATGGATTGGCCATATCCATCAACCTGTAATTGACATTGGCAGAGGTAATTAATGTGTAGGATGAGCACAGGACTCGAACACACAACTCATGGCTCTGCAAGCTAACACCCATAACCATAAGGCTAAGTGGGCTGGGGTGAAAATGAAGCCCCAAGTTGAGGGCTTCACCCGACCCCACCACGGAGATCCCGAGACACGATGTGCCCAACCACACTCATCCTCTACACAGCCACTCTACCGTTGTGTAAACCTCTACGGCGGTTACTGCGTGAAAGCACATGCATGACGAGCACAGGACTCGAACACACAAATCATGCACAGAGACGTCTCCTTCCATGCTAGTGATGCATCTATTGAAAGGGTCTTCACCCAGTTCGTGTGGCAAGTGCACATCCCTGGGCTCAATCCCTAGATCTATCCCATACCCTTGTGAGTTACCCGACCCCCTGTGTGCCTTGAACCCGCGCCCTGTCTCTTAAAACGTATGTCTGTGTGTTGTGTCCGCAGTTAGGGTCGTGTGGACTTGAACCGTGGACTATAGGAATAGTAGTCCTAAGGGTCTGTCCAGCCCTTAGCCCAGGATCTGCTAGAAGTGAGTAGGTTAGCTGAGTCAGCGAGGGGGAGGTTGGCCCTGAGTATAGCGAAAGGTCAGTCAGTTGTAGCCTAGGAGATTCTAGAATCGTCAACTTGACCTTTTGAGGCTGTAGAAGACAGTCATCCGTAGGTGAGTCAGCAAAGTACAGACCAGTCCCAGTCGCAGTCCCAGTCAACCTAGTCTAGTCAGAAAGTACCAGGTGGGGCTGCACATTCCTTGGGCCCGGGACAGAAGGCAGGCCAGACCTCGACGAAACAGTATAAAAAAAGACGCAGCGCTCAGCTATTCATTCATTCGCCTGTAAGCCATGCAGCAGTGCTGCTGGTGCGACTTCTGCAAGAGGGTCTGCAGGTGCCCGAAGACAGAGTGGGCAGAAGAGGACGACGGTGGCCATAGCCACCTAGAGGAGGAAGACGACAGCGGCCATAGCCGCCAAGCTGCTGACGTCAACAGAGAGTGTAGACTAGGAGTGCGTGTGTGCGTGGGACATTCAGGGTAGATCCTAGTGCGTGCGCGAGTGAGTGCGAGTGTCAGCGGGAATTCAGACAGCGTACGGCGGCCATAGCCGCTAGATGTAACAAGTTGACTTAAGCTGAGTTCCTGCCATGTATCTGAGTTTTCTGATAATTTGCATGATAACGTTGTGATCTATAGAATCAAAAATCAAAACAGTTAGTTATGTCGCCGCCTTCGATGGCCCATGTTTGGTGTTTTTTTTATTCCTACATGGAGGCTCGCAAGAGTCAGAGCCGCGGCGGAGCCTCTACCAGGCTGAAAAGCATGACTGCAATCAGTAAATTTATCGCGCTATGCGGCATCTCACGCTTGTTGCTGATTCTGCTTTGTGAGAGTTCGGAGTTTGTCAGCCATTGGCATCTGTATGCATGCATGTTGAAAGTGAAGTTGAAGGCAAGTCTGATTTCACTATGCTATAGCGATTAGGTACCAGGTAAGCATGACCTTGTGAGGAAGGAGGAAGGAGTCAAGAGCCTCTCTCAGCCTCTACCATGGCAGATGACACCTTGTACTGAACACGCATCATCTGCATGTTCCGCTATTTCCCTTTCCCCTTTCAACCACCAGTACACCCACCCACCCATACATCGGTCTCGAGGCCCTTTCAGGGGCCGGTAACGCTTCGCAGACCGCCGATTGAATTTATCAAAGGCGGGCCCGACCCGCAAAAAACTCCGGTGATACAGTGTGGGAGTGGCAACGAGTTTTCTTTATGTGTGGCTGGGGCCGTGTACTGGTGGGTTAAACATATACATCACCCTTACAATGTTCCCGCTATTCGCATTTTGAAACGAGAAACAAGAAAAGCACCGGCCACACTCTTCGAGGACAAGACGACAGCCTTGCAACGTGAGTAGAGGATGGACGGCTCAGGGGGTGCCTGTTGTTGTACTCAACCACAAGCCATCTGATCTCAATACTTAGCATATTTACTTACCCTCCTTTTTTCTTTTTTTTTTCTTTTTTTTGCTTTTTAAAACGTCCTTCTATTAAGCCATCTGATCTCAATACTTAGCATATTTACTTACCCTCCTTTTTTTTTTTCTTTTTTTTTTTTTCTTTTTAGAACGTCCTTCTATTCTGGGGAGCAGCACTCCCTCCAACTGGTCCGCAGCCAGTAATGGGAGATCAGGGTAGAGAAACGTGGGGGTGGCCTCACTGGTCTGAATTACTATTGACGTCACCATACTGCTTCATTGCCACAAACAGATTCTCTTTTTTTTTTTCTTTTTTTTTTTGGCCACAAACAGGTTCTTTCCACAACATGAAGGGATATTCTGCGAGGTTAGGTCGGGCAGTAGGCTGACATCCCCCCACAGCATGCCTCCCTGCAGAGAGACACGTGAAAGGATCGACTGCGCTCTGTTGATAACGCTTACCAGCCTCACTTTAAAAAAAATAAAAAAAAACTCTTTGTATCTTTAGTTCTGACAGTTCTGGTTTGCAAAGGGATTTATTAAATTTTATAATTTTATTTATATTTTCTTTATCCTTATCTAGATCGGATTAACCAAATATAAACAAATCCCTTTCAAACCAGATGGGGGTTTGGAAAGGGATTTGTTTATATTTGCTTTATCCTTATCCAGATCGAATAAAGCTTTTTTTTTTTTTTTTTTTT